AGTTTGTCTATTCTTCCCATGGTCTCTCTCCCTATCCCACTATGAATCAGCCTCCTTATATCAAAGAAAATATTCTGCATTTTTTTTTTGGATTGGCTAACTTCACTTAGCATTATTTTCTCTAGCTCCATCCACTTACCTGCAAATGCCATGATTTTATTCTCTTTTATTACTGAGTAATATTCCATTGTGTATATATACCACATTTTTTTTATCCATTTATCGATTGAAGGGCATCTAGGTTGGTTCCACAGTTTAGCTATTGTGAATTGTGCTGCTATAAACATTGATGTGGCTGTGCCCCTGTAGTATGCTGTTTTTAAGTCCTTTGGGTATAGACTGAGGAGAGGGCTAGCTGGGTCAAATGATGGTTCCATTCCCAATTTTCCAAGGAATCTCCAAACTGCTTTCCATATTGGCTGCACCAATTTACAGTCCTACCAGCAGTGTATGAGTGTGCCTTTCCCCCGACATCCTCGCCAACACTTATTGTGTTGTTTTCATAATAGCTGCCATTCTATCTGGAGTGAGATGAAATCAGAGTGGTTTTGATTTGCATTTCTCTAATTGCTCAAAAACGGTTCTTAATGGTTGCTGTTTTCTGGGAGCACAGGGTTCAGATGTAATTCAACATCATTAATTCCTAGGAATGCTGAAAAAATAAATTTAAATTTAAAGGAAATGAACACATTTATTTAAAAATACAAATTTTAAAGTCAATATAAGAAGAAACAGAAGATTGAATAGTACAATAGATGTTAGAGAAATTAAAATCACAATTACAAACCTTCCTACTTTCTAAAAATCCAAGTCCAGATAATTTTTTGGGTGAATTCTTCCATTTTAGGAAGAAAAGTCCTTTCTTCTCAATTTTTGCTCCAGAGGATAGATCAAGAGGCAATACTCTTCAATTTCTCATACAGGGCCAATATAAACAAGCCTGATACCAAAATCTGGCAAGGATTTTATAAAAAGAAATATAAAAGGAAATACTGGGAGAACGTGAGCAAGAGACAGAGGAGAGGAGATGGAAAGATGTTACAGACAAATGGATAAAAATGCAAAACAAAATATTAGCAAACAAAATTCACTATAACAGAACCAATTCACAATACAAGGACCAATAGTATAAATTGAAATATGTAAAACTACCCAATTTTTAAAATGCCTAAGTTACAGAAATTAACATTCTAGTCCCAACATCTAAGATCAATACAACAGAAGAGAGTAGAAACACACACACACACACACACACACACACACACACAGTGTAAACTGATTTTCAACAAAGTAAAAAAGCAATTCAGTGGGGGCAAGAAAATATTTTTTTATCAGTCAACAGTGATGGAACAACTGAACATCCATGAAGAAAAACAGAGTGAGCCTTCACTCCTTCCTCAAGCCTTGCAAAAAAAATTAATTTGAAATGAGTCAAAACTTGAATGTGACATTTAAAACTAGGAAGCTTCTAGAACAAAACATAGGAGAATATATTAATGAGCTCGGGGAGAAGAAACATTTCTTAAACAAAACATCAGGGCACAAACCATAACATAATAATTGGCAAATTGAATTTCATAAAAATTAATAATGTTTGCTCACCAAAAGACACCACTGAGGAAGAAGATAGTCAGGCTGTAGACAAAGAAAATGTCTGTAAGTACATTATATCTGACAGAGGACTCACAGACAATATATAACCAACTCCTGCCTATCAGTAAGTAAAAACCGAGTTCATAAAGTGAGGAAGAATATTCACTAAACACTTTTAAAAAGAAGATACTAGAATGGCCAGTAAATATATGAAATGCGCTCATTCTCATTAATCATGGGAAATGCAGGCAACACAAAAATCCTACAACAAAATATCACCACACATCCACTTTTCTGGCTAAAATAAAAATCATGGAGCAGCTGAAAATATCATTGATGAGAATGTACAATTGTAGGATGACTTTGAAAAAATAATTTGACCAGTTTTTGATAATGCTAAATGTACCCAATAGTTCTGATATTAGATAGCTAACTAGGAGATATGCATGTCCGTATCCACAAAAAGACACGCTTAAAACATTCACAGCAGCTTTTCATAGCAGTCCCATCTGGAAACATCCAATTTTACCAGCAGGTGGTATGAACTGGGATATTTATACAATGTTACACTAGTTACTGATAAAACACAGCTTACTGATAAACGCAATAATGTAAGAGTCTCAAAAAACATTTGATTGAGTAAAAACACCCAGACACAGTGGGTAACATGCTGTTTTGATTGCACTGAGATTAGAAAATAGCTAAATGCACCAATGGTGACAAAAATCACAACAGTGATTGCCGAAGAAGGCGGGGGGGGGGGCATAGTGTCTGAAAGGGGTATGAGGGATTTTCTGTGGCAACTGGAATGTTCTAAGTCTGTGTCTAGGTGATGCTCACATGAATGTATGAATTTGTCAAAATTCATAGAGCTGAACATTTAAGATTTTAGGTCCTTAACTACGTGTTGATTTTGCCTCAATAATGTAGTACCAGTGTAAGAAACCCCAGCAGGATCATTGTCATTGGCTTATGCCCTTGAGAATGATGACCAGCAAAGTCCAGTTGAGCCAGCAGCTGGCATGGATAGGTCTGTTTTACATGTCTGTAAGAAATTCAGAAATATTCTGGGAAAACCAACCAGAAGCAGCATCTTTGCCAACCCAACTTAGTAGGCTGAAAAATTCAAACTGCACGGTTTTGTGGTCTGATGAGACCCCTCTCATCACCCCCTGCATCACAACATGAGATGACATCACGTAGAGAGAGCGAGGGCATGGGAAGCTGGAGCTCGGAGTGAGTGGCGTGCATGCAGAACAGATCATCTTCGAGAGAGCTTCCTCACCAGGAAGCCAGAGACCCTTTCTAACAACCTGGTATTGTGGGAACAAATCCACACCAGTGAGACCTACATCAATCCCTTCTGAGGAAGGAGCGCCTAAGACATTCACCAGGGTCCACCTCTTAAAGGTTTCACAATCTCAAAATTTCCACAGTGAAGACATGACAGTCAAGGGATTTACGGACAGTTAGAAAAAGTACAGCTCTCTGCACATTGATATAAGTATGATTATATATTTCAACCCATGCACGGTGCCCAGTGACACTTTGATATTGACCTTGAATCCTTCCTCTCTCTAATGGGAACTGGGGATGTTCCTGATGAAGTGGGACTGAGAATCCCTGCCTTTATTTCCTTTCTGTTTTCTCAAGCCAGCTGGACCGAGCCACCCTAGTGATCCTTTGTGCATTGGGTCTTTGGACTGGGACCTGTGTGGTGCCAGTTCATGCGACCTGTGACCAGATAGTATTACATAGGGACAGATGATGTCATGTCAGAGTTATCTACAAGGAAGCTTCAGAGGCGTGGGTGCCCAGCCAGAGGGTCATGGGAGTATTCGAAGTGGGGCAGGAATCACTTCACGGGACAGGTTGGTTGATGGAATCTAGTGATGAAGCAGTGGTTGATGGAATCCAGTGATGAAGAGGACACGGCCCCCACCGCCTGCGTTTCTGGCTTCTGTGCCCATGTGGATGCTGGTGCCCTTCCTGAAGACGGTTGCACAACAGGAAAGGTAGTGACTCAGGTGTGCTTATGTGGAGTTGGAAGCACAGGCAGGTCTTTCTCTCTCTCCTCCACATCTATTCTCCAATTTCTTCCCTTTAGTTCTCTTATCTGATGCTCTGGGAAAGGAAGTCTTAGTTCCTGGCTTGTTATTAACCAGTTCTATCAATGAATTACACTTGTGGGCAGGTACTGTGTTTATTGCCCCTGAAGTATAAATTGAGTACTTAACATCCTTTTTTAAAAACTAAAGCTAAAAATTAATTAATTAATTCTCCCTAATAGTCCTACAAAATAGTCATTATTTTTGCAACACAAGTGAGTTTATTGCTTACCATGATAAAGGAAAAATGCTCCTTTGATAGTCTGACTCTCAGGGTCTCAGAAGAGAGAGAAGAGCAAACCCAGACTCCTCACTGAGTTTTTTTTTTAACTTATTATTTTTTTAACTGAGATTTTGAGGTCTGGCTTAATGGATATCTTTTAATTAGGGTTTTGGTTGGGTTTGAGCAGGATCATGATACACTATTTCTGGATAGATGGGCATTGCAATAGGGGACTGTAGGGCGAAGGATTCAGAGTCTTGGGGTATAAATTGTCATTTGCTCTCTTTTCCATTCAAGAAACTCCTTTAGGAAGTTTCTGGAATGAACTGCAAAGTTACTTGCAACTTTTATCTTCCTGGGAAGTTTCCTGGAACCGTGAAGTCATGGTGATGAGAGATAAAGTGACAAAGACATGCTTCTGTTTACAGTCTCACTGTATAAAGCATAATTTGGACACTGATCCAATGCAGGAAGTGGAGTAGTTAATATGATTGAATCAAGGCTTCAAATTTGAAGGAGCGAGAACCTTGACTATGATAAAATTCAATAGTAACCAGTGAAAGATGTGCATTGGATTCTGGAGACATGGCTACAGGGTAGAGTGGATCTGGGGGAGCTCATGTGAGTGACACCAGGGACAGACTCCACGGGAAAGGTAGGAAGGCAGGTGCTTTCTCTCATGAGTGTAGGGAGCTGTGACGTGGAAAAACCCATCAGAAGGAGGGCTCCCAGGTTTGGAGGGTCAGAATCTAATGCCCCCAAATACAGCACCTTCCTCCCTTCTCTCCCAAAGACTCTCATGTGGCAGGTGTCCTGCCCTGTACCGTGAGGTAGGATTGTGACACAGAGAGACAGAAAAGAGCCTGAACTAATAGGCCTTGGTGACTTCCGCTCTTTATGTCGCCATCAAGTCACACCACCTTTGCCCAGCTGGGTTTCTCCACTTTCATCAGGTTTGAGCACAAAAACACACAGAGCCCCCAGTGTCTTCAGGTCTTTATTTCCTTATGAAGTCTCCTGTGTCGCCTAAAAATTTAAAATTAATCTTCAGGCTTTTTTTCTTGTTAATCTTTGTCAGATTTAATTTCCGTCTCAGTCAGGGACCCTGAAAGTGTTGAAGAAACCCTCCTCTCCTGCAAAGAGTTGAATGTTTTGACTGTCCTCTGTATGCTGCTGTAATGGTGGGTACAAGTCATCCTGCACTTGCCAAACCCACAGAATATGCATCACCAAGGGGGAACCTAATTGTCAACTGTGGACTTGGTGATAATGAGTCCATGTGGGCTCCTCAGTTGGACATAAATGTAACATTTTGTGGGGAATGTTGCTCATGGGGGAAGGTGTGTGTGTGTGTGTGTGTGTGTGTGTGTGTGTGTATGCGCACGTGCACACACAGAGGGAACATGGGAAATCTGCAACTTCTGCTAAATTTTGCTATGCACCTAAAATGTCTCAAAAAATTTAAAAAATCCATTAAAGAGGGTGGGCAGGTAATTTGGGAGCACCCCCAGCAAAGGCTAAAGAGGCAAGAAGTGAAGCATGAAAATGAAGGGAATCTTAAAACAGCTGTCCTAAGGTATCCCATAACAGGGAGCCTGGCTCCCCATCTTGCTGTAAAACCTACAGTCGGGGTGGATGGCCAGATGTTTAGGGAAGCAGGTGTTTTCTCAAGAGAAGAAAACCCCTCATATTTGGGGAATCTCCCTCCCCTGAAGGTATGAGGTCTCTCTTACAGTGGGATGTAGGAAGAAGAGCCCCTGCTGATTTCTGAGCCCCTTCCCAACTGTGAAATTGTGGTTTTCCAGTTTTTCTCAGTTCACCTTTTTTTTTTTTAATTTTAACTTGAATAAAAACCGACTTCCTAGAAACCTGGAAATACTGAGGGACAACTTTCAGAAATATGAAAGTGCATTCTAAAGGCTCCTTTGATTTCTCTTTGAAATGCTAAAGTATGATGTAAGCATCTTGGCTTTGGTGCTCACAGCTATTCAATTCCTTCTACAGGTGATAAAAAGCATACAGCCTGGAGCATAGATGTGTGAAAAGAGATTAGGCAGTGTGTGAAAACACTTCCCACCAGCCATTTGACAGGTTTTTTTTTTGAAATGCTATGTCAGTCCTATGAAGCTGTTACCTTGGAATTCACACCTATTGGATTCTACATCCAGGTAAATAAAGCATCCCTTGGTGAACACAGAAGTGTGAAGCCAAACTGTGGAAATGCTGGACTCAATTTATCCCCAGGGAACAAGGAAAAATACAATAATCTTCCTTCATCATTTCAGCTTCGTTTATCTTTGGAAAAATTTCAAGATCGAAGGGACACATGGGGAGATAACAACTATTAATTGAGCACCTACTACCAGCCAGAAACAACTTTGGAGTATTTCACATGTAAATATCCCCAGGAATATTTTTTAAGATATTATCAACTTCATTTTGCAATGTGTAAATCATGGTTGAAATAGGTTAAATATTTGCTCAAAGATATACCACTTATAAGTAGTGGAGTGGGAATACTGGTCTAAAAAAGTTGAACACGGTTTGATCAAAAATCCCAGAGATATATCATATTTATCAGAGAAGTTATGGTAGCTATTGTGATGAAGAGCTCCCAAGTCTTAATAGCTTAAGATACCAAATATTATTAGTTGCTCAAGGCTGACGTGGTTGGTTGGTGGATGATCTGTTCCAGGCAATCTTTCAAGGACCATGTCCCCTGTATCTTGTGGTGCCACCATCTTCAAGATGTGGCCACCCATGTTACCAGAGTAGAGACAGGAGTGGAGATTATACTTATTGTGTCCATATTTGTTTCCTTAATCTTAATTTAGTCACATGTCCCCAGACTAACTACCAGGGGGCTCATAAATGTCATTAAAGTGTCCAGGTGGAAAATGGAAGGATTTGGGGAATACATATGCTACCCATTTTGTTTTTATTTTATATGCTCAATGGGACTGAAATATATGGAAATGACAACCCCCCGATAGCATGGCCCAGGAAGAGGGAGGCAGGAAGAAGGCAACACATTGATAATGTTGATTCTTTCCCAATACATCCTTTGGCAGTAGCAGGACACTCCCTGGGAAGGACCTATCCATCAAGCCTCAAAATGACAGTCTCTGGAAAGGAGCCAAAAGATTGATCCTTCCCCAAATAAATCCTTTCCCAGTGACAGTACAATAGACCCTGGAAGGAAAGATACGCACTGGGTGATGAACTCCGGACCGTCCATTCTTGCCCAGTAAAAACAAATTTCAAATTCTCACAAACCGTTTCCTGAATGCCCAAACCCATATGTTCTGTAAGGTCTTCCATGGTTAAACCATCTTCTAGTGTGTAACCTATATAAGCATAGACTCCTTCTGTAACAGAGAGCCATTTTCTACAGAAAGTGAGCCCCTCCAGTGCCTGATTGATTGGCTCTGCTGCAGAATAAAAGACAACTTGCTGATCCATTTGAGGTTTGGTCCTGTTCTGGTTATTTTGTACTTTCATTATGTTGCCGAAACTATTTTGGGTACTTTTGCTTACAGGGACACTGTGCTTCACTTAAGTTAGGCACTTGAGTATATTTAGACACTATAAACAAAAGGTTGAATGCTTGAATAGATAGATGGTGGCTCAAAACCACAGTAGCAATCGTCTAGTTGTGGGGACAGACAGATGTGAATGGTGGGAGCCTGAGGTTCATGGAATAATTCTGTACCATGGGCCCACTGTGCTGACCCCCATATGCTTTCTCTGCCATAAAGCAATTTACCTTCAGGCCTGACTGCCTTAACTGGACAGGATATGTCACATTCCTCAGCAAACTGCATGTTGTCTGCAAGGAAATACAGTCAGGAAATGAAATGCATAAGAGAAACCCAAGTTACTTTGAAAGGAGAGACTTTTGTTTCTGCCATGGACCCAGCTGACCATGGACTGGAGCTCTGAAACTGTGAGCCAAAATTAACTCTTCCTCCTATAAATTGTTCTTTTCAGGTATTTTGGTCACAGCCCTGAAACACTGATTAACACAGGGGTATAGCCATGCGCTGTGCAGATGTTGAGAAAACAAAGAGAAATGAGATTGTAGGGGAAGACCAAGGGTACTAAATGCTGTTTTTATTGACTTGCTAACAAGTTCCTAAGATTCAAGCCCTGTGGAGTGGGAGAGAGGAGGCAGAGGAAGAATTGGGGGGAAGGAGGAAAGGAGGAAATGGATTCAGCAAGGAGATGAGACTGGTGAGAAGGAAAGGTTGATGGGGGAGAGGAAAGAGATGGCTGGAGAAAGGAGGAATGGAGAGAGAAAGCAGAGGTCTTGACCAGAGGCAGCCCTGACTGCACAAAGTCTGAAATTTTCAGTTCTAGAGTCATCTCTCTACATATCAAATATTAAAACAAAGTGGATACAATTTCCTGCTATATGTCAGGGACTCACAATATCACAATATTGAAACAAGGCAGATACAGTTTCTTTCTACCTGGTCAGGCACTTTATATCTGGTCTTCATCAAAATCTCTGCACTTTGTGGATGAGGAAACTGAAGCTCAGAGAGGTTAAACGACAAATTAACCTGCACTGATCATATGCAACTTTCTCTTCCACATCTCACCCTTTCTGCAGGGCTCTAGGAACAGAGAATGGGAAAGTTGTGCCAAGTAGCACCATGGACAGAAGTTCACAGTCATATGGGTGGGGTAAGAGATGGTTCCCAGAGGCAGTGAGCAAGAGGAGTTCATGTAAAGTTAACCTGTTCTTGTCCTACCTGGTTAGTGCAGGACCAGATCTCTGTAGACAGAGCCTGGAGTTGTCTGCCATACTCTCTGCACTCCTTGGCTAACTTTTTTATGGGTTAGAGCTACCTCCATCTCAGGAAAGAATCCCACCTCCTGTTTCACCAAGCCTCGAGGTCCTGTGTGCCGAACTACTAAATAATATCTCTTGGTGCTTTATAATCTGCTTTTCTAGGAGCTTTTGCTATTTCCAAGGTCCTATCCTCTGTGGATGGGATACAGAGATGCGCTGCTCAAGACCCAAGCTGCTGTGAGCACTGTTGGCATAAAGCCTTCAGCTATGTTCAGGGATTTCTTCGGCTACAGAGTCCCCTTGGCTGGGTAGCAAATGGCCAGTGCCTGGCTGAGGAGAGGATGTAGAGGCCCAGCTGTTTTGACTCAATAAATATACTGAACCCACCCCTTCAGTTCCATGTGCCTCAGACTTGGCCTGACTTCCTCCTTGGTTCTATTCTCATCCTCTTTCTTCTATATGTGTGGATTTCAAAGGTAGTTCCCTAATAAACATCCGGCTCTGAGATTCTGAGTCTGCTTCCTGAGGAGCTCCTGCCCTGCCCTGTCTACTCCTTTATCTAACTCCTGCGTACTTTGAAAAATCAGAACCCGAGTGCGATCTTGACTCTGGCCATTTGAAGGGAGGACATCTGGTCACTCCTTTCCTCATGGCCCTTCACTTCTATTTTATTTCTTTCTTCTATAAGAAAAAAAAACCCTTCTGGTCCATTTCTTGGGTGACTTTTGAGTGATGGTAACACACGATCAGTCTTTTCACTGTAGAGTGTGATCCTGGAGATTTTTTGTGCACACGTGTGGGATGACATCTGAACAGTACTGTTGGTAACAGCAAAATAAAGTGCAGACAGCCAAAGTTTTCCAATACAGAAAGAATTACAGAATTTATGATAGTAATGCAGATCTCCAAAAAGAAAGAGAATGCACACTAGGCACTAATTCGAAATGTTCTGCAAAACATATCGTATGCAAAAAAAATCAAGATACAGACCAGTGTGTGTAGCCCATGCCGTTTATGCAAGAATATGTGCAAGCATGTGTGCACACAGCCAGAAATGAACCTGGGGCTCTGCACAAGGCCCACATCATTGGCTGCCAGGAGGGTGAAAACAAGGACCCTGGAAGACAAGGGTAGAATGAAAGCTTTCTTTTTTTCTTTATCTTCCCTTTTGTACTTTCAAAAATTTAAATTATGTGACTTTGTACTGTAGGACTTATTAGTTTATTTGAGAAATAAATCTAATAATAAACTGTAAAGCAATTTAATTCTTTTGAGGAAGGTGAGGAATGAACACATTTTGTGGAATGGGCTGCTGGGAGGGATGTTGCTCTTGATTTCATAGTGGCAGAAGGCTAGTCGGCTCTGACATAGTGAAGCTTAGAGGGAGATGGCAACAGGGGTCTCTGAGTCTGAGATTGGCTGGAAGGAAGGCACCGCCAGTTGCAGACACCTCCTTCAGAGCACTATGCTGACCTGGCCACACATGGCTGGTTCTGATGCTACTTCCATGCTAGCTCAGGCCTGCAGCTGTATCTGGCCAAGGCACTGTGGTCCCAGTAGTCCTGTCAGCAGCTACTCAGAGATCTTGATGCATTGTCCATGAAGTAGACTGCCTTCTTTTTGGACTGAGAGAGTGCCTGATGTTCTTGGGTAATGGAGGATGGGGAGGAAACTCAATGGTGGGACCATAGATGTCTGAAGGCCTGAAAGTTGTGCTGAGAAGCAATTTGTATACTTCATGCTCATTCCAGTCAGCTCTGTATTTGCAGCCCAGAGCTCTCTCCTAAACTTGATAATAAGACATCTAGTTGTGTCCAAGATATCTTTGCGTGGCTGTCTTGTGGAATCCACAAAGTCTATGTATCCTGAACTATACCTCATCTCTCCCTGATTCACCCTACCCCTCCTGCCCTTTGACTTGTACTCTCATTCTTGGTAATGGCAGAAACCAGGATATCATTGTCTACTCTTCCTTCTTGTGCACCTGTCCATCATTTGTCTAAGTGCAAATCAGACACTTCTTCCTCAAGCTATTCTTGCATTGTCTTGCACTGCAACAAATTTGAGTGCCTTAGTCTGCCCTATATATGGGTTCCCATGACCTGCTCTCATCTTTCACACCACCTCAAGCATCCACTTCTCCACCTGTTTACCTGTCTTCCCTCTCTGCTTGGTTTTCCTTTTACCCCAACCTGGATGGCTTCTATTCACCTTTACAAACACAGCTCAGGGATCACACCTGCGTGTCCTTCCCTGATTTCTGGTTTGAGGTTATTGCCCCTTGTACCCCGATAATCCCCCTTACCCAACCTGTTGCATGGCTTTGCACAGCACTGATAACTTTGTGGGTCATTGGCAACCTCTCCTGGGAGTCCGTCCAGAAGGGAAGGGCACATGAGCAGTTTGTCACTGTGTCCCCAGAGTTCAACAAGGTGCCAGACATAAGATGGGACTCAATGAACATTAGTGAATGAAGTCAGCGAAGCTTAATTCCTCCTGCTAGAAAGGAGGATACCCAGGTCTGGAGGGGCAGGGACCCCTGAGCTCCCACACCTAGATCACACACCTCTCCTGTGGAGGTCAAACCTGAGGCTCCTTACGCTGTGGGACGGGCTCTGTTCTGCTGACCCTCAGCAATCAGTGGAATGGAAGAACCCCGTAAAACCATTTTATCAAGCATTTTATAGTTCATTTCTTTCCCTTTCAAGTGGTTCTCCCTGAGCTCACCATACCTCTGTTGTTATAAAATTAAATAGGAAGAAAGTAAATGAGTTTGGCTTTCTTTTGATTCTTACCTTGAGAGCTTCCTCTCTTAACTTCATGTTAAAAATAACAAATCTCTCGTGTGTGCACCTAGAATCCTGTTTCCTGGCCAGATAAACCCTATCATGTTTCTGGGATGGATTTAGCCACTAATTAAGGATTTATTATAGCTGCCCTCTTCCCACACACCACGTTAGTACTGACAGGACTGGCCACAGGAGAAACAAACTGTAAAATTGTCTAAAAATAAAGCAATACCTACAAGCCTATCCATAAGAAAGCTGGAGGGCCCTCCCCCTCAGGCTTCTGCTAGAACAGATGGAAGGTGGCAGGCGGAGGCTCCATCTGGCTTCTCCACTCGGCTCCAAGTGCTTATCTGCAAGGGTCATGGGCCCTAGACCAACAGGGAAGAGATGACGTTTCATGAAATATCACGACTCTGCTGGCCCCTCCACCTCTTCAGTGAGTACTGAGTCATCGCATGGGCAGTGAGGGTCACACAGGGAAACTGGCCTATGGGAGTGATATCAGATGGAGCCTTCATAGGAGCCAGCTGGAGTGGCTGTAACAAAATGCTGAGTGGCTTAAACATCCATGTGTCCCAAGGGCTTTTCCTAGGTTTTTGCACATGGGAAGGGAACTAATCATCTTGGATTAGGACCCCATCCTTATGACTTCATTTAACCTTAATCAGTCAATTCCCTAAGCTCTATGTCCAAATACGGCTACAATGGAGTTAGGACATCAATATATGATTTTGGGTAGATGCAATTCAATCCATATTAGGTTTCCTCCAGGGGTAAGAATGGGTATTGACTGGAAAGGGCTCACTGAGATTCTAACAATGTTCTATATTTTGCTATAAGGGGAACTTATATGACTATATATTATATAAAACCT